CAAAGGACACCGCAGCCAGCCAAGTTGGACAGTTATTATACAGAATGTACTCATTAAGGTTGCCTGTCAAGCTATTAATGGCTGCTACAAAATATCAAAGACAGAGGGATGAGAAGGACGAAACAGCGATGGTTCATTTATAATACACACACAGGCTGTGATTTCCCCAGTAAAACTCCAGGGTTTCCTCCAGTGTCTGCAAGCCAGCTGCGCCCGAGCATCAGATTTTAACATGCTTTTTCAGACAGGAGGGGTCGACAGTCCCAACAACTTTACTCGCTGAAACTATAAACTCTTTTGTTCTTCTTTACAGTCCCATCCTTTCCCAGCTTTCCTTCTGCACCTCTGAATTCAGTGTTATAGTGTTAAAATTACATGTGAGCTTCACTGTAAGTAACTGTGTCACCACTGCCTTTACAGAACGCGACTGAAAATCAAAGTCTGTGTCTTCAGATGATGTTCCTGTAGGGGGACTCCCACCTCTGTCTCCCAGATGAGAGTTTTGCGTTTGTCACAGCAGCTGAGCAGCAGCTCGCTAAAAACACCTCGTGCAACAGCATTTAATGAACATATATGTGCCGGCATTGTTAAAAGAAAGTCTGATATGGGACAGAATAACCTCCAAGATGATAATGTTGTTATTTTTTTTTTGTAACTGGAAGAGTACTAAAGGTCTAGAAATAAAGAATTAATAACCTTGGGTCGTCCCCTGTACAGGTATTTAAAAATACAGTTAAAATGCAGCAGAAAAAAAGAGAATAATAAAAAAGTAGTAATAAAAAGTATAAATATTAAAAAAGAAAATGAAAAAATTAGCATGTTATGGTTCCACAGTGAAAGTGTTTAATCCAGATTCATATTTTAAGCTTAAAAACAGGTTTTTGATTTTTCTGTTTGTTTTGTTTCATGTTCATCACTGCACATATGTGAGTAAAAAAATATTCCCAGTGACTCTATTGCTTCATAGCTTATTCTATAAATTTCATTTTCCCAATAATGGGAAAAATAAGCATGCACACAGTGTGTATAATAGTATGGAGGTGCATATGTCTTGAACTCCAGGAGCCATAAACCTGCTATCCAGCAGAAAGGCCTCTAAAATCCTCAGGCGTTTTTTTGTTTGGTTTTTTTTGGCTTGGTAGAGATACTACATGTGCATTCTGTTATCTTACACACAAAAGCTCAGCGTCATTCTGTGTGGCAGAAAACTGCTGCTGGAACACCAGCAGGGAATTGTCTGTGTTATCAGCCTGATTTCCCCCTGCTACACCCAGAGTGGCAGTACAGTTTATAATTGTGTTGGAACTGGTCCAGCTCCTGTTGGGGAAAACTGCAGCCACTCAAGCTGCACAGGAGGTTATACATGTAGTCCAGTCGCATGGAGGAATTTAACACCCTCGTTCAGAATGGTTAGCCCTCTAAGCAGACGCATCAAAATGCTGCCAGTCTTCCCCCACCATGATGGAAACCATTCAAAGTGCCCATCCTTGACGTCTGCTGTTTGAAGTGTAACATATTTGAAATAGGTGTAATAACAGCCAAATTATTTCATATCAGTTTTTCTTTTGTTCTGGTGCGTTATTCTTCTTGGAGAACAATCAAAAACGATCCCGTTCCCATATCCCTGTGCTTTCTGCTGCACTGCTTCAGTGATTCTCTGAATCCCCAGTGCTGATCTTGTCTTTGAGAAAGCGTACACTGCAAGAATGTGCAGTTGTTGAAGACATCAGTCCAGAATCAGAAAAGTGCTAACCATCTGAGTCCACCAGCTTGTCTGGGTTGTGCTTGCAAGCTAAGGCTCTTTTAGTGTTCATAATGATGAGTTTATTCAATCTTTGGATATTAATAGATCTGATGGTGCTTCGCTGATCTCCATTTTCTTCTCATGAGGAATGTAAATTGATTTCTCTGTCCAGCGTGCTTGCTTTCCTCTTTGTGATCATGGCCCCATATTACCAAGTCTAGCCTTATTTCTTGTCAGTGACTCATTCGCTGCTTTACAGGAGATAACTGCTATGAATGTAGCTGCACAAGAGTAACTATCCCGATGGGCCACAGATTCTATCCAACCCAGGCATATGCTACATCACAGGCCTTGTTAAAAGGGATGTCAATTCAAGACATTTGACTTCTCACACTGGGAGCGGATTTCCTGAAGTATCTAATCTCTCTGGATTGTCTATCAGGATAGTCAGGTTGACTTTAAAGTAATACAGGCTGGTCTTATCTTTATAAAAACTTAAAGAACTAATTTCAATGAGCTGAAATCCACTAAGTGATAAGACTATAAGGCTGCAACGGATAAACTAGAAATTGCTTTAGATAAGGCAGTTGGTTCTCAGGAAATGAGGGCAAATCCAAAGGCCCAACACATTTACAATACCTAAAGGTCAATTTTAGTCCCATAGGATCTGCTGTATAGTGAGCTGGCTGATGGCTAAAGACAAAGGCAACCAAATGTGTGTAAGAGACACACACATACACATAAAATGGCTCAGAGTATGAGAGCTGCTGAAAGAAAAACCACCAGCACTGCACAAGCACAATAGTTAAGACTCCAGAGGAAGTCAGATGTCCACACTTTGCAGCCCAGTGTCTATGTCTGTTATAGCTGTAAACACCATTAACATTAAAGGATCCGACCACATCAGCCTTGATCTTAAAAAAGCAAAAAATTCAAATAAAAAGCTCACGCATCGACTTGGGTGGTAGAAATGTCAGCGGCTTGTGTGCTTGTTGGGAGAAAATACACCTGAAACACCACCTTGATCAAATAAAAATCCTTTTCTGTTGGCACCAAACTACTTGAGCTCTTATGCAGCGTTGAATGTAAATCTGTTTCTGTGTCTATGCATTCAGCATTGCTGTCACGTCTCACACTGTTACACCTTGTTAAGAAATGTCCAAACAGTGAAACCAGCGCATCAGTGGTACAGCAGGATACATATCAATGCAGGATGCGTTTAGGCGCAGTGTTGCTGGACATTCGAAGACATTTTGACTAAATGGATGAAAAACACCAGACATCACAACATCTCTGAAACACGTGAGATTAAATTTTAGCATTACTGCACAGCTCATGAAGGCTGTACAAACTATATCCTGTATTTTAATCTTTACTGCTGTTAAGCTTCAAATACACTGCAAACATATACCAACATGTTCCAAAATACAACTGAATCTTTAATTAAAGATCCCCAACTCCAGAAATGAAAATGCCCTTTTCTTTTAAACTATAGATCAATCCAAGTATCGATAGTATTGATACCGGCGGCCGGTATTGGTATTGGATTGATACTAGCATGACAGGATCGATAACTTGTTTCTACCCTCCAAGTTCACTTTGTTCCCTAATGAATCATGTTAATTTTTGATTTATTTATAGTCTGTAGCACATTTAAAACAACAGAAGCGGAAAGACCCAGTTTCAAAATACACGAAAGGCTATAAAAGGTGTGTTTTGCTGGTAATTATTCCAAAAATAAAAAAATCACAGTGATTTAGTGTGTTCAGAATTAACAAATTGATAATGATTTATCTCATAAACCATGACACACTACTCTCCTCACATACACTGCCTGAAAATGATCAGTATTGGTATTGGCAATATCAGCCTTGTATTTACTTAGTATCAGATCTGTACAAAACTTTTCAGCACTACCACCTCTAGTTTGCAGGATTTTCGTTTAAAAATTCAATTCTAAACTAAAACCTCTTTGATATCACTGATGGTAAGTTCTTAATTTTGGAAAACAGCTTACAAGCTAGACGGGACATTATAAAACAGTTTTCAAAGGTAGTGATTCTCATGAAAATTACATCTAATCTGTAAAGTGGGTTAAGTGCCCCTTAACAGTAACTTTTACTGCCAATATTTTGCTGGTACGGAGTTAAAGCTCACAATATTATCACACTAACCAGGGAAATAAAACCCCAATTCATAATTCCTGTAGAGTATGCCCTGTGTGGCTTAACTGCTTTTCCTCACGGCTGTGCCAGGCGAGGCTTGTGGTAAATGAAGCAGGATCACAGTTTTCATATCTGCGCTTTACATAAAGGTCAGGATTAAGTTTAAAGCCTTCTGTGCTCAATCCAAGTGCCTTGAAGAAAACTACCTTATAAAAGTTAAGTAGTATGCGTCGGAGCGCCAGTCGAAGCGAGTTTGTCTTCCTATCATCATTTTTAAATACATTCAGGCTTACAAGCATGAATTTCAAGGACATTTTCTTCATTAGGTTAAAAATCATGCGTTGTTTGGTTAATAACACTACAGCTTTGGCTTCTTTTGTAATATATTTTTTTATTGTAAATTCAATATATGCTCCTGATGTTGTAAACCTGAGTGAGTAAGCTGCAAAATCATACCATAACTAAAATACAGTGAACATTATGGAGTGTGACAACATTGATATTTAATAATGATGATATCATGGGAATGATACACATATCCACATATTTAAAAGATGGACATAGCTTTGATATTAAAAAATTAAGCCACTGGTAAACTATGTTTAAAAAAATTGGTCCACATTAATGCTAAAAAGAATAAAATGCATTTAGTGTGGGCCTTCCTTGTGACTAACAAGTCATTACCCTATGAGATGGTGGTTAAAATACTCAGTCCATATTTGATATGGATCTAAACTAACCAGCGACTGGTGTCATGGTGTCTACACTCATCTTTTACATCCAGTGGCCAGTACCCCAGTGTGTGGATACGATTGCTCCACAGAGGCGTCCTGTCGAGGGTGTACGCAGTCCAGTAACAGCTGAGAACTGGATAAGCAGTTAAGAAACTTGATTGGCAGATGATTGTGGATGTGAGTGAGACGTTCACACTTTACAGAAGCTAGCTTTCCTCATTTGTCAGTTTTTTCTAACCCCATTTGGCAGAAAAGATTACGTTTTATACGTTTTATACGTATACTGTGTGTTATAACCGTGTAATTAAAAACAGATATTGTGGTAGCCTGAGAGTATACATAAATAATGCCACTTACTTGAATAAATGGAAAAAGGAGGCCCACGGCAAAGTTAGATAGCCAGTTTACTGTGCCAGCGATCATGAAGGCAGCAGGTCGATAAGACTGTTCAAACAGTTCCCCGGTCAGGATAAAGGGGATGCCACCTGACACAGAAAAAGACAGATGCACCATTAGTTACAATAACAAAGAGCTTTGGTCAGAGAGGAATTCTGTGTTTATTGCTTAATAATGAGACTTGTTTCTTGTTAACTCTTAAAGTTGAAATATGAGCTCCCACCTTTAAAGTAAGCTGTGTTATCTTTGCCTTTTCTGTGTGCCTTCCTACTTTTAACCAGAAATGTATCAGTCCAACTAAATCCAAGGATACTGTACCATCCTTGCATTTGGTTTCCGCAGCACATATTCCCCTTTTTATCAGAAATCCATCAGTAATTTCTCACACTGAAATGAAGTATTATTTGTATCTACTGGAGTTTGACTTGCAGAATTTAATTTAAATAAGCAGGCACTTTCCTTGCTTTACCTGACCATCAAACTACATGTGTTCACTGTGCTCATTTAAATCAGATGAATTTATAATAATTACTTTGCTGAATTCTTTTCAGCTGTATTAATTTTATTATTTTTTTAAAAATCCTCTAATCTGCTCTATTGTTGTTACAATTGACAAAAAAAAATGTGCCAGGTGACTTTAAGTTAGATATTAATAATCCCTCTAACTGTACTGCAACAGAATTTCTTAACATTGCTAAATTATTCATTTAGGGCAATGTGTTACCAGCCCCACACATAATGGTAGGCACACACTGGATCTGGCTTTTATGCTTGACATATCTGTTGACTATCGCCCAATGAAAGACATTATTCTTACACCAACTCATAAAAAATATGTCTTATTGTCTTGAGTAACAATAATAAGCACAATCCAAGGTTCAACCCTATCAACTGACTCATTCATCATACTCAGTTTTCTATCTTTGCTATATCTTCTAAGGTTTGTGAAAAATCTCTGTTGTCTGAGTTTTATTTATGAGTTCCACGACACACCGATGAAGTGGAAGTCTCAAAACCTCACAAAAAGTAATTTAAAAATACGATACATTTGGCTTTAAAGGGTTAGAGAGGTTTTACCTGTCATATATCCCTGGCACCTCTCTATCATAAACAAATCCCTTTCATCTGGCTGTGATCCAGATTACTTTAAAACAACCAGTTTCTTCCCTCCTCCTCAGACTCCACTGCTTTAAAGAATTACAGACCCATTTCCAAACAGCCATTTATTTCAAACATCTTTGAGAAAGTTGTTGCTCATCACTTCCTTCAGCTGGCTGAGGGAAACATCTTTGATTAATTCCAATCTGGTTACTGATCAAACAGCACCACTGAAACATGACCATAACCTAAAATTACTAAAAATATAACATTAAAGATAAAGGTGACTATTCCACTTTGGTCCTACTAGACCAGGGGTGGGCAATCTCAGTCCACGAGGACCGGTGTCCCTGCAAGTTTTAGATCTCACCTTGGGTCAACACACCTGAATCACATGATTAGTTTGTTACCAGGCCTCTGGAGAACTTCAGGACATGTTGAGGAGCTAATTTAGCCATTTAAATCAGCTGTGTTGGTTCGAGGACACATTTAAAACCTGCAGGGACACCGGCCCTCGTGGACTGAGATTGCCCACCCCTGTACTAGACTCATCTGCTGTCTTTGACACCACTGATCATGTCATTCTTACTAATTACAATTATCTGACAGATACTTCAGTCCTTATCCGCACCTGTCTTATGTGGAGTCAGTCAAGGCTCAGTCATTGGACCATTTCTATTTTCTTTACTAATGTTATCCTGGTTGAGCTTCAAAGCCATTTCTTACTATTTATATGCTGATGATACACAGCTGTGTTTTTTTTGTCAAGCCTAACAACCTGAACAGCCTCCCCTACATCAGGGGATGCTTTATTGTCTGTAAAAAAATGGATGTCCTCAAATTTCCTCCCATCTCAATTCTGGTAAAACTGAAGTTTTTATGATCAGTCCTGAGAACTTCTCTGGGGAGCTCACATCAAGAAAGTGCATCAGCTCACTCTGGAGTAATATCATATCATCTCCTAAGGACGTTGGTATCACAGCTCTTAAGTTAATCTTGTTTCCTTCATCCAATAAACATCACAAAAAATAAATCCTGACTGTGAGTCAATAATGTTGTATTGTTAATACGCACTTTAGTTTTCTCCAGCATTGATTATTGGAATCATTAACACAAACACCACAAGTTGTGAAATAATTTAATGGGAATCCTCTACAGTTTCTATTCCAACGATACATGCATATAGGCATAAATCCTGGTATTAAGGTCCAGACCCAACTTTTGTTGAAGTGAAATAAAAGTTGCTTCCCTGTCGTCTTATCAATAAATGACACAACAACACAGCATGCAGTTAGAATATTTTCTTAAGCACACAAAACACATGAAGATGGATTTGCAAAATTCTTTTTGCCCCTCAATTATGGATGTAAACACAGTGCCACAGTTGAAAATGGCTAAAAAGGAAACCCTTCGGGCATTCTTATACAAACCACAGAAACAGTAAAAGGCAACCATTTCTTGGAGCGCTGAGTCTTGGGTAGATAATGGTGGCAGAGAAGCCAAGAGTACCAACAATTTGTTGCAGTGGGCGTATAGCATGTGCAATAGATTGAAAAAAAAAATGATTAAGGGTGCATGCAGCATGTTTTGCTTGAATGTAAATGACTGAAAACAAAATGCCTTTCAACATTGCTGTGCATGGACAAGTGATGGAAGAGAATCACACGCAGGGTCATTGTTTATTTTCATAATGTAGACACTATTATTATAAGTTATGCCTAATTTGGAATAAGCTACAGCCTACAGAATAAATATGTGAGGGTATAGATAGTGTTCTGTGTAAACCAAAGCATGCTGTCGATTGGTGTTCGCAGGCAGCTTCACGAACGCGGCTCCCTATAATCTCACACATCTCACAGTTTCTCCCACACTGATTCTAAACCAAGACATGCACACATGGATGAGTTTATATCTTCATTGTTACTTGTCTGGTCTGATTTAAGATATCACTGCTATTGCCTTGTGCATTGTAAATGTGGTTGAAATATCCAACAAAAACATCGGCTAAGATAAAAATCTTTCAGACCAGTGGCTTTTGCATTTAATCCTCACAGCAGGTTTTTTGTTGTCACATAATTGCTTCTGAGGCGACAGTTAATGAGCTACAAGCCACATGAGCATTTTCGGCGTGTGGTGAATAAAGGGAGGAATGGCTTCCATTAGCCCTTAGCATCCTCTTACATTTAATTGCTTGTAGTAATAAACTATCCCATTGATGGAAAAAGATGCTTTTTAACAAATGTGACCAGCTGATTAAAAGTGATTGCATGTGTTCATGCAAGAACAGAGCTGACCTACCAACCTACCACAGGGATAAAGGACTGGCTCTGTGTGAGCACATTACAGCCTCAGATTCT